AAGAAATCAGAGATGACACAAAGAAATGGAAAAACATTCCATACTCATAAGAAGAATCAATATTGTTAAAATGGCCATACTGCCCAAAGCAATTTACAAATTCAATGCTATTCCTATCAAACTACCAATGACATTCTCACAGAATTAGAAAAAACGTTTAAAATTCATATGGAAACTCAAATAGCCAAGGCAGTTCTAAGCAAAAAGAACAAAGCTGGAGGCATCACATTACTGATTTCAAACTGTACTACAGGGCTATAGTAACCAAAACAGCATGGTACTGGTACAAAAACGGAAACATAGACCAATGAAACAGAATAGAGAGCCCAGAAATAAAGCTGCACACCTACAACTTCAACAAATCTAATCTTCAACAAAGTTGACAAAAACAAGCAATGGGGAAAGGACTCCCTATTCAATAAATGGTGGTGGGACAGATGGCTAGCCATATGCAGAAGATTGAAACTGGACCCCTTCCTTATACCATATACAAAAATTAGTTCAAGATGGATTAAAGACTTAAAGGTAAAACCTAAAACTATAAAAAATGTTGAAGAAAACCTAGGGAATACCATTCTAGACATAGGCCCTGGCAAAGATTTCATGATGAAGGCACCAAAAGCAATTGCAACAATGACAAAAAAAAAAAAAAGACAAATGGGACCTAATTTAACTGACGACCTTCTGCACACGTTAGAAACAGAGTAAATAGACAACCCACGGAATGAGAGAAAATATTTGCAAACTATGAATCTGACAAAGGAACAATATCCTGAATCTATAAGGAACCTAAACAAATTAACAAGCAAAAAACAACCCCATTAAAAAGTGGTCAGAGGACGTGAACAGATAGTTTCCAGAAGAAGACATACATGTGGCCGACAGGAAAAAGTGCTCAACATCACTTATTACAGAAATGCAGATCAACACACGATGAGATGCCATGTCACACCAGACAGAATGGCCGTTATTAAAAGGTCAAAAGATAACATGCTGGCAAGGCTGTGGAGAAAAGGGAACACTTAAATGCTGCTAGTAGGAATGTAAATTAATTCAGCCACTGTGGAAAGCAGTTTGGTGATTTCTCAAAGAAGTTAGAACTACCAGTCAACCCAGCATTATTAGGTATATACCCAAAGGAATATAAATCATTCTGCTATAAAGACACATGCATGCATGTGTGTTCATCATAGCACTATTCATAGTAGCAAAGACATGGAATCACCTTAAATGCCCATCAGTGGTAAACTGGATAAAGAAAATGTGGTACATATACACCATGGAATACTATGCAGCCATAAAAAATGAGATCATGTCCTTTGCAGGAAAATCATGGAACTGAAGGCCATAAGGTTAAGCAAACTAATGCAGGAACAGAAAACCAAACACTGCATGTTCTCACTTACAAGTGAGAACTGAACATTGAGTATACATGGACACAAGAAGGGAACAATAGACACTAGGGCCAACTTGACTGTGAAGGGTAGGAAGAGGGTGAGGACTGAAAAACTACCCATTGGGTACTACGCTTTTTTCCTGAGTGATGGAATAATATGTACAGCAAACCGCCAAGGCATGCAATTTATCTCTAGAACCAACCTGCACATGTACGCTTGAAACTAAAAGTTAAAAAGTTTTTTGAGAATTGTTTGTGTGTGTGTGTGTGTGATGATGCATATCTTTTTTTTTTTTTTTCTGTTTCTGTTTAAGGAATGTGCCTTTTCTCTTGATTTAGCACAGAGATTGGCATATTTTTTATATAAAGAGTCACATAATAAATATCTGACTTAGGCTGTTAGGCTTTTTAAAATATTTTAGGATTTGCTAGTCATATAATTTCTGTTGCATGTTGTTTTTTGTTTTGTTTTGTTTTATAATCCTTTAAAAATGTAAAGACCATTCTTAGCTTGAGGACTGTACAGAAACAGACCAGTGGTTGGATTTGACATGCAGACCATAATTTACCAACCTCTTAAACCAGAGGAAGAAAAATGAACAGTGCTTTGCTAGTACCTGAGTTTTCATTTTTTATAAAAAGCAGACAAATAGCCATTTGGGTAATTAAACATGCTTACTTTTAACAAGTCATATTATCAGGTTGGTTTTTGAGAATAGCAATTGATTTATTTTTTTTTAATCTCCCAGAGGTCCAGTGCTTTGTGTGGTAATGAGTAGCAATGGTGAGCAGTGTTACAGTGGTGGTACTGATGGACTGATCCAGGGCTGGAATACCACTAATCCCAACATCGACCCCTATGATTCTTATGGTAGGTGATTTCCCAAAGATCTGAAGGAATAAAATTGATTTTTTAAACACATTTTTTCATAGAATATAAAAGGAAGAGATAGGAGATTTTTGAAAATAGATAAAGAGAACCACGTCTTTATTTTGTTAAAAAGGACTTCTGTATTTAGGAATTAACTTGATATACAATGCTAAAAGAAGAAAAGAAAAAAACATTCTTCTTGAAAATACAGTTCCCACTTCTCCAGAGTCTTATTTATTGGAAATACAGGCTTGATTGACAGTTGTTTTCTTATTTTAGGCATCTGTAGAGTTCTTGGTACATTATTACTAAGCCGTAGTAACATTTCATCACTATTCTTGTCAAACAACTTTTAAGGAAAATGAATATTGGTGCCATCCCCTTAGTCAATTATTGGAGGGCTGTAGAAGCTAATAATTTAAAAAGTCCATGACACCAAAATAGGTAAAAGGCCTCAAAAGTTAAGAAGTGCCCTTTAGTTTTGGGAACAGTACCATACATCATAAATACATATTATAATCTATCAATAGATATTACCATAAATTCATTTGTAAAAACTGTTTAGGAATTGACTATTTTGGTTTTCTGTTAAGTTCTAGAGTAGTTTGAAGTATCACATTTGTCATAAAAGCATTTTAATTCAATCATCATTTTAGATTAATTTTACCACCAAACCAGAGTAAGGATAAGAAATTCAATAAACAAAATTTTTTCCCAGCATTTATTTAATAAGCATTAATATTTTGTGAAAAGTAGCCCCACTCTCCCCCAATTCTCTTATAAGTTATCTGTTCTATGCCTTTCCTTACTTCCTTTACCTCTCTGCTAGAGAATCAACTGTCCCTCATTCTGTCCTAGGCCAGTCTTTCCCATTTTGACTTTATTCATTTTAGTTTCTTTTGGGACTGTACTCGAATCTGTCTCTCTTTGCGACTGCATTCTAATCTTTTGCTCTTCTGCTTTTGTTCTCTTGCATCTTAATTAAGCCTTACTCTCTTTGCTTCCTTTGCATCCCCTCAGCAAATAAGTAAATTCGGGTACCTTCCATTCTGAGCTAGGAGAAGCCTTGACCCTGTTTCCCTCTCTGGCTTCTGTTTAGTTCCTCTCATTCCCTCATGATCTGTTTCTTTGATGGTATTGTCTAGAAAACATAATTACCAGTTACTAATTTCATGTTTTTTTCTCTGTGCTTCATCCTTCTGCATACTGGCTTCTGGCTCTAACACTTACATATAACAAGATTGTCAGTAACTAATTGCCTGATCCAAGAATATTTTACAGTCCTTATTTTACTCGATGTATTGGCTGTATCTGAGATTGTTAACAACTCCATCCTTTTTGAAATCTGTCCATGCTATTGGCATTTTGACACTTTGTGACAATTTCTATTCTCTGTCCTTCATAAACTGCTTTTATTTTTCTTGCCTTAAATATTGACATTTATCAAGACCCAGACCCTAACTTTTTTCAGTGTACAAACATTCCTTGAGAGACTGAATCTACATCTGTGCTTAAATCTTTGAGCTTCAGATTGACTACAGGAATTTCAGGATGACTGTTGAATGGTCTGTAAATCCTAGCATGTTCTGTGTTTCTTCTCCTGTATATTCTTTTTTAGTTGGTGGCACTATGAGAATCACCCAAACTAGAAACCTAAGAATTATTTTAGATTCCCTGTTCTGTCACACTGTCCCCACTTACTAATTACCTAGTTTTTTGGTAAAGACTTCCTAAATGTTTCTTGAATTTACTTTTTCTGCTCTGGCCCTCTCACTGCTTCCCCTGGCCTTAGGTCTTTGTCACTCTTTTTGTCTGCTGAAACAATCCCTTGCCTTTGTCTTGATTCTATCCAATCTGTCTTCTGTACTACTACCAAGCTTACCTTATTAAATACATACTTGATCCTGCTGCCCCTGGAGACAGATTCCTTGTTGCTTTCAGGATAATTTCCAAGTTCCTTAATATGTAGTAGAAATCACATCATAAACTAGATGCCCTCATCCCATCTACTTCCTGCTTCAAAGTCCACACTCCAGTAATCCTGAATTGCTTATGTATTTCCTTGCATATCATGCTGTTTCTTTTTTCATGTGGTTTCGTGGGTGCTACCTCTTTGTCAAGCATTCTGTCCCCTTCATCTTCAGCTGGCTGACATCTGTAAATTCTAGGTTTCACTCTCCAAGTTTTCACTCATTCCAGTTACTCTCTGTGCTAACTGATGTCTGTCACTATTATTGTACTTTCAACCTTGTCTGTTGAGGACTGGGATAGAATTGGGTCTTAATCATATATTTGGCTCCATCATTGAGCATAGTGTCTGACACACAGTGTGTCTTCAATAAATATTTTATGGCATGTGTGACAGAGGGTATAAGACATAATACCATTGACATTTCCAGACTTAACATTTGTGAGTCTTCTTGAAAGTACCACTTCATAGAATCATTGTGAAGATTAATAAAGTTTCCAATTTGACTTTTATCATGAGACTGTGCTTACTTAACCTCCCCACTTCCCTCCCTCTTTCCCTGCATACACTATCACCACATCTCAGTTACTGCTGTTTGAGAATTTGGGATTCCTGTAGATGTCACTTCCTGTCCATTATGAATGTCATATTTTCAGGAATAACTGCCATCCATCATATAGTAAGATAAGTGGACAGAAGGAAGTGTAGCCAAAGTGCTAAGGGATTTCAGAGAGGGAGAGGACCTCTCTGTTCACTTCCTCAGGGAGTATAAGTTGTGGTTTCTCCAAAGACGAATGAAATTCAAATGATTTTATATTAACATGCTTTAAAAATATTTAGACAAATGGAAGGACAAAAGGAAGGGGGAGGAAATACTCACTTTTTTTAAGGGGAAAGATACGTGCTTTTAAATTTTAATTTAAAAATTTTAAACTTTACATTTGTATATTTCCAAGCCTGTTTTGATTTACTGTAGCCTGTCAGAAGAATTATAGAAACCAAGAGTCATATTTTATACTGTTACCAGGTGCCGTTGTTTATATATTTTACTTTCTCTGAAATCTGAGTACCTTTGTGATTTTTTTTTTCTTTCTGAATTTGCATTTTTACTGTTTTGTATAGATCCTTCTGTTTTACGAGGCCCTCTGCTAGGCCACACGGATGCAGTCTGGGGTCTGGCTTATAGTGCAGCACATCAGCGTTTGTTGTCCTGTTCAGCAGATGGCACTCTGCGTGTATGGAATACAACTGAGGTTGCTCCAGCACTAAGTGTATTTAATGATACTCAAGGTACATACTTTAAAAAATCATTTTGCTGAATCCCCTATAAAACAGTTTATTCTGAAAACAAGCAAGCAGATAAATGATTCTCTGAACGCTTTATATTTAATTTGAAAGTTTTTGAAGCAACGAAAGTGTGTTTGTTTGAATTTCCAACCTATGTATAATTTTGTTGTTGTTGTTTTGTTTTGTTGAGATGGAGTGTCACTCTGTCGTCCAGGCTGGAGTGCAGTGGCGCGATCTCAGCTCACTACAACCTCCGTCTCTCAGGTTCAAGCAATTCTCCTGCCTCAGCCTCCAGCACACATCACCACACTCAGCTAATTTTTTTTTTTTTTTTTTTTTTTTTAGTAGAGACAGGGTTTCACTATGTTACAGGCCAGGCTGGTCTCGAACTCCTGACCTCAAGTGATTCACCTGCCTTAGCCTCCCAAAGTGCTGGGATTACAGGCGTGAGCCACTGCACCTGGCCTGTAATTTTTAAAGGAATGGTTTTTGGTGAAAGAACACAGATTTTAGATTTTAAAAAATTAAGATATAATTTATGTATAGTGAAAAACAGGTATTAAGGATACATTTCAGTGAGTCTGATAGATAAGTACACCCATGTAACTCATACATCAATCAAGACATAGAGTACGGGTGTGGTGGCTCACACCTGTAATCCTAGCACTTTGGGAGGCTGAGGCAGGAAGATCACTGGAGGCCAAGATTTTGAGATCAGCTGGGCAACATAGTGAGGCCCTGTCTCTACATTTTCTTTTAAAAAAAAAAAAGACTATATTTGCCCATTCTCGTACCACTACAAAGAAATACCTGAGACTAAGTAATTTGTTTGTTTGTTTGCTTTTAAAATGTTTAATTGCCTGACGGTTCTGTACAGGAAGCATAGCAGCCTTTGTTTGGCTTCTAGGGGGGCCTCAAACAATTTACAATTGTGGCAGAAGGCAAAGGGACAGGAGGCATGTCTTACATGGCCAGAGCAGGAGGAAGAAGGGGGTGGAACATACTTTTAAACAACCAAATCTTGTGAGAACTCTATCACGAGAATATCACCAAAGGGGAAAATCCACCCCATGATCCAGTCACCTCCTACCAGGCCCTATCTCTAACCTTAGGGATTACAGTTTGACATGAGACTTGAGTGGGGACACAGATCCAAACCATATGACAGACAGAATATTTCCTTTATCTCCCCAAAGTTCCTTCATGTCTTTCCAAGTCAATCCCCTCCTCTCCTTATTCCCAACTGGAGGTACCCACTGTTGTGATTTCTTCCATCATAGATTAGTTTTATCTACTCAAACTTCATGTAAATGGAATAATACAGTATGTGTTCTTTGTATCTTGCTTTTACTCTTCATTATAATGTTTTTTAAATTCATTTGTGTTGTATCAATTACTTCTTTCATTTTTATTTGATAGTATTTCATTAAGCCATAATTTGTCTATTCATTTACATCTTGATAGATATTTGGGTTGTCTCTAGTTTTTTGCTATTTTGAGTAAAGCTGCTGTGAACATTCGTATATTTTCATTATAGGTGTGTAGAGACTTAGAAGTAGAATTGCTGGACTTTCAGTTGGATGTTTATTTTACTTTATGTGAAATCACTAAAAAGTTTTAAAAAAATTTTGTGGTTGTTGTACCATTTTACACCTTTGACAGCCATGTATGAACATTCCAGTTGCTCTGCATCCTTACAAAAATTTGGTGTTGTCAGTCTCTTTAACTTTAGCCATTCTGGTGGATGTGTAGTAGTATTTCATCGTAATGTATTTGCATTTCTTTGATGGCTAATTACGATGAGCATTTCTTTTGTTTGCTTTTTGGTTATTTGTATATCTTCTTCTGCAATATACACATTTTTGAACTGTTAGCTTGCTGTAGTTAGATTTTGAGCCAAATGAAAAAAATCAGATTATTATATTCACTTTATATGTTTCCTTCTATTTTTTATGTTTATAAATAAGCTCTAAGTTTTCATGTATTCTAGATGGTAAATAAAAATACCTTCTTTATTCTTGAGCTATTATAACTTCTCTCCAGGCTTTGATGAGTTGTCTTCATATGGTATTTGCATGACTCTAACAATAAATAATAATTTTAAAATTTACTTTTTAATTTCTCTGTTTTTGATGAGCTAACATTCCTAATAAGAGATGGGTTTTTTAAAATGAAGAATTCCCACTATGTCACTCTAAGCTCGAGGTTGAGTGGAAGCAGCAAAATTTGTAATTCATACATGTTTTCCATTTGCTTTCTGAATAAAGGCTTGCATTCCATGAATATATCAGCTGAGTAACAGGGAGAAGATCTGCTAAGCAGGTAAGGGAAATAAATAGACTAGGGCTAAAAGTTACGAAGAAATAATCTCCAATGATTAGTTATGAGCTAATTCTCATTCTTACGGTAAGCCTTGTTTGCTTCTTAAGGAAACCATGTCATTATTTGTTTTGCTATATTTTAAGTGCATTGTCAAGTAGATGGTTTAATTCATTCTATTTCAATATGTTCTCTTTCAGAATTGGGAATCCCTGCCTCTGTGGATCTAGTAAGCAGTGACCCGAGCCATATGGTAGCATCATTCAGCAAGGGATATACAAGCATCTTTAACATGGAAACACAACAACGCATTCTCACTTTAGAATCCAATGTAGATACAAGTATGCATACCAATTTTAAATAGTCTGTGTTTATTATTTTAACATAATCAAAATTATAACTACTAGAGTCAGCTGTGAAAAGTATTTGTCATTATAAAGCTTTCTGTCTCTTAAATCTCAGAACACAGTTACTTAGAAGGATGTAATTATTTACCTTTTAAGAATTTGGGTTAAGTTTATGTACATTTATAACTATACTGTTTGAAATAGCATTTGAGCTATTCCAAAAATGGGTCAAGTTTTATTTTATACTAAATGATTAATTTTCAATTCTATTTGAAGAAAACCTTATTTATTCTGAATAGGAAATAAAATATTTTTTATTTCTCATAATTTCATATTTTAAATCAACTTAATTTTATATTAATAGTGTGATTTGGTACAGCTCAATACAGATCATGTTGTGGCACTCAGAATTCCAAACCTGAAGCATCTTATTGGATGCAGGAAGTCAGGAAATAAATGCTTTTTCAGGTTATGAAGAAGATATTACAGACTCTTTTTTGCTTTTTGGCTTTCTTTACCATTGCTTGCTGTCTTTAGCCATAATCCAGACAATCACAGTTTAGGTTGTAGTTGATGAAGAATACCACATACAGATACTGTTGTTTTAATCTGAGAACTAGCTTTAAAAGTGATTACATGTTGGGTGTGTGTACGTCCATGTGTGAACATGTCCATGCATATGTATACATACATTGTTGTGTTATTCTCACTCTCTGTCTCTCAAAAAGTTTCTTTATTCCATTGTGTTTTTCATCGTTTTACCTTCCTAACCTGTTGTTCATTGTTTTCTTCTGATATGCGGAGACTTGTGTGGGGAAGTAAGCATGAATAGAACTTTGAGCTGCTTGGATGTAAACAAGAGAGACAGGAAAATAAAAACTGAGATGATAGATTTGGAAAAGGAGAATATCACCAAGAAATTACAGGTTTTAGACGCTCAATAAATTTAAAATCACATTTAAATATATGATCCAAAGCTACAGTAGTAAAAGTAAAAACTAATATGAAATTAGAAAGGATGAGAACATTCTTGTAATTACCTTCAGAGATTATATGGCCAATTCGTGAACATCCTGAGTGGAAATAGTGCTTTTTAATGACTGCAGGTTAATAAGATGTCAAGTCTAGTAGATAAGATGGATAAAGAGAACTAGGCAAGTGAGTCCATATTTTCCCCCAAGAGATGTGACCCTAAATTAATAGGACTTTTTACCTGACACTGGAAATATTTTGAAAAAACTTTCAAGAATATTTTTAACAAAGGCAACATTACTGGAATAAATGATCATTATTTTGAGTTGTAATATGTCCTGACATTTTCTAAATTATGTTTTTTACTTTTAAAGTTGCATAAAGCAAACTTAAATTAGTCTCTTACTATATTTTACTGTGAACTACCCCTTGCTATTTATATTTGATTGTGTTGTTCTGTTTTGGAATTTAGCATTTTTTTTAAAAAAAAAATGAAAAGACCAAACAAGCTTCAAAGTGAAAGTGAATTTTATATAGAGTTTAAAGTGATGAAGGATGTTTGTTAGAATAGGAATAAATTACCCTTCTTCTCGTTGATGTCAGTGGCGATTTGACTGTGATAAAGTCAAAGGTAGTTGAAGCAGATATGTCACAAGCTGGGTATGAGTAGTGTTCTTTGCATTCTGCCTACTTCTCTGATTTGTCATCAAGTGGAGAAGCTTCCTTAAAAGTATTACCAAATAAGAACTTTCTTTTGCCTGTTTCCATGATTTGATTTCAATCATATTTATTTTCTAGCTCTCAAAGCAATTGAGACTATTCTCTAAAACATCTCTCTCAGAATATATGGGATACTTCACTTAAAGTATTTCTTTTTTTGTTGTTACTGTTTTTCTCTTGCTGGACTTTACAACAGGTATTGCTCAATGGAGTATTATCTGTGGAGGAAATAATGTATAGTCTGAATTTTGTGAATAAGCATCTCTTTGTTTAGGATCTAAATCAGGTGTAACTAAGAACTTATTCCACATGGTCGAGTTTTTGTTTTTTATATATATATATATATTTTTTTTTTTTGAGACAGAGTCTCGCTCTGTTACCCAGGCTGGAGTGCAATGGTGCAATCTCAGTTCACTGCAACCTCCACCTCCTGGGCTCTAGCGATTCTCCTGCTTCAGCCCCCCAAGTAGCTGGGACCACAGGCATGTGCCACCATGTCTGGTTCATTTTTGTATTTTTTGTAGAGACAGTTTCACCATGTTGGCCAGGCTGGTCTCGAACTCCTGACCTCAAGTGATCCGCCTGCCTCGACTTCCTAAAGTGCTGCGATTACAGGCGTGAGCTACCATGCCCAGCCACGTTTTATATTTAAATAACAGGCTGGGTAATTACCTGCCACTATCTTTGGGAAGAAACTATCTTCAGTTTTTAAGATGTCATATTTCTAGGAGCCACATGAAAATTCTGTAAGATTAGACTGTTTTTAGCTGTATTTTCTATTATGTGAATATAAACTTGTAATACCTATTCTAGGGTTCAAAAATTTTTTTAAATACTTTATTTTGAAATAATTTTAAACTTGCAGAAAAGGTACAAAAACAGTATAAGAACTCCTGGCTACCCTTCACACATATTTAGCAGTTTTTAACATTTTGTCACATTTACTTTTTCACTCTATATATGTGTATAATTTTAACTTCTGAACCGTATGAGAGACATCATGCTCCTATCCCCTAGATCCTTTAGCGTGTAATTCCTAAGAACAAGGACATTCTCTGATGTAGTGTATTACAATGATCAAAATCAGGAAACTTAACATTGACACAATACTATTATCTGAGTTACTATTTATATTCAAATTTTGACAGTTGTCCCAGTAATATACTTTACAAGGATGTCCCTTTCTCTCCCTGGACCATAATTTAATTTTTAAAACTTTGACATACCTTCAATTAGTGTTTTCTTTTTGTCAGTGTTTCTTTTCTCTTAAAAAAAGCCTAACAGAAATCACTGAGGTTTTAAATTACTGATTTCTTTTTAATAAAAGCCTTTCAGAAAGAATGTGTGATCATTTAGGAACCAATTTTGGCAGTTGTGTGATCTGCATGAACCATCGGGTTGGGAGAGAGTTAGAAGTTAGAATAGGTACTGATATTGTCACCTGATTGTGGAGGAGTCACAACTTTTTCTGAACCTTGATGTGTTCACTGTAATATGGGCTTGATATGTGCTTTCCTATTGCATTGTGTATATAATTGAAGTTTCTTTGGAACTTACTAACAAAAAATACAGTTAGGATGCTGACTTTTAGGATTCCAAACCTGGTTCTATCAAATGATGACCATTTCTATTATGATGAGGAAGAGTGAAAAAGGGATTTAAGGATTAAGAAGCTCTCTTTGTCATATTTATCTTTAGATGATAACGATGTGATACAAAACATTGTATGCAAAAAGAGCTGAGATTTAAATTTGAGAATTACCTCCCTGTAAGTGATGATAGAACTTACTTATATTAAAGTGGCAAAATCTTACAGAACATTGTAGAATGAACAGTGTTAGTGGTTCTAGACTAAGCCTTAGGTGGCACCCACATATAGCAGGAAATTATAATTTATAAATATTTCCAGATTTATCAGTATAGTATAGCTCAGGCAATTCTCTTTCCTAACATTGAAATTTTGAAAACAATCACAGCATAAATAAACTAAAAACAAATAATAAAAGTCACATTATTTACTTTTTCTTTTTCTTTTTCTTTTTTTTCTTTTTTCTTTTCTTTTTTTGAGACAGAGTCTCGGTCTGACACCTAGGCTGTGGAATACAGTGGCACAATCTTGGCTCACTGCAACCTCTGCCTCCCAGGTTCAAATGATTCTCCTGCCTCAGCCTCCTGAGTAGCTGGGACTACAGGCATGCGCCACCACACTCGGCTAATTTTTGTGTTTTTGGTAGAGACAGGGTTTCGCCATGTTGGCCAGGATGGTCTCGATCTCCTGACCTCGTGATCCACCTGCCTTGGCCTCCCACCTTGCTGGGATTATGGGCCTCAGCCACCACGGCCAGCCTACTTTTTCAGTCTCTTAGGCAGATAATTTAGTTCTTCTTTATGTGAAAAATATCTTTGACTAAATTGTGTTGCTTTTTAATTTTTTCTTTTTAGCAGCCAACTCTTCCTGCCAAATAAATAGAGTCATCAGTCATCCTACTCTTCCGATCAGCATCACTGCTCATGAAGACAGGCACATCAAATTCTATGATAACAATACAGGTAAGAACTTACTAAGAATTGATTTTTATTAAAGAAAAAAAATCCCTACCACAAGTAGGCTAATTTTGGTGTCTGTTGGTGGTTTCGTAGTCAGGGAATAGGCACTGAAACACAGATACTCTCCCGGCTCAGTTTCTCTTCATTCCATCCAAATCTGCTAAGACTAGTACAGAATCATTTTGGTTTATTTAATAGTGAGCAGATGCTATATGTAGGCTTTAGAGCCAAGGTTATCACTAGGGACACCAGGAAAAATTCACTCAAATACCAATAAAAATGATCTGTTGCTGTGATCTGTTGTAGTAGTATATATTGGGGAAAAGTAGAAACATTGGAAATAGAGGCATATGGTCATTGTTGTTCAATTATTGAATAGCATTATTCAATATTCAATTATTCCGTTATCAAATAGCCTTTTTTAGTGTTGCAGATGGAAAACCTCCAGGTCATTGTATTCGTTTTTCCATGGACTAATATTTTCTGTGTTATAAAACTGACTAGTTTGTCCTCATTGATTTGAATTGTGCATGGAGACTTACCCAAGTTTTATTTTACTACATTTCACCAGTATAAAGGAAATTTAGGAAGCGTTGTGCTGGGAGGAAAGCACCGTATATTAGCTGCCATATTTATCTAAGTATCTGCCTTTAACATGTTGACTTTTGCTGACTTTGTTTAGCTGCTGGTGATGAATATTTAATGTTTAAAATTTTTTTCTATATGTTGTATCCACCAAAATTATGGCCATGTTTTCTTTCTGTCCCATTTTCCTTGCCTCGTTGTTTTCTCTCTGTGAATTTGAATTCTGTGTTTCCACAACTCATAAGTTGCCAGTAGCTAAAGAATGCAAAGTAGGTGATTAATAATGTCTACGTTCTAATTAACAAATGTGGCTTAAGGGGTGTGTGTAGAAATTACTGACTTCCATATTGTGGATTAAAAGACAAAAGTGTAATCTAAAATTTGAGCTTTTTTGGTTTTCCGTGTCATTGCCATGACTAGAGGCAAGAGGGGAGACATGTTGTTTTAGTTGATGGAAAAAGCTGTTCATACAGTAAGCACACAGAGAGGGATGACTGGAGAAACCAGCATGACATGGTAACTGGCATATATAGACGATGAGGAAAGGCATTAATAAGGAGTATCCATCTCTTTTTCCAAAGGCAAACTGATCCACTCGATGGTAGCCCACCTAGAAGCTGTTACAAGTTTAGCAGTTGATCCTAATGGCCTTTACTTGATGTCTGGCAGTAAGTACCTCAACTGTGGATTATTTATTTGTCCTTACCATTTTCATGTTAATGTAATTTTTCCTTTCAATTTTTTTTGGGTATAGGTCATGACTGTTCAATACGTTTATGGAATCTAGAAAGTAAGACGTGTATCCAAGAATTCACAGCTCATCGAAAAAAGTTTGAAGAATCGATTCATGATGTAGCTTTCCACCCATCCAAATGCTATATAGCCAGTGCTGGAGCTGACGCACTGGCTAAAGTCTTTGTATGACGCAATGTATCATCTTCACCTTCTAGCTGTTTATAAGTAATCAACTGCACAAAAGAGATACAGAAGACGAGGGCAAGAATCAACTCGTCCTGCCCTTTTGTTCTGCTGAAGGAGCACAGAGAACATTTGTTGAAGTATAGTTTTGCAATTCATATACTGTTTTCTAAAACTAAGGTTTGTTCAGGTTGCTGCAAGCTCAGCTGAATCTGTGAGCCTGAGGTCTGTTTCAAATTTCCCCCAATAGGCATCTTTATTTCTGAGGTTGTTCTAATTCGCTAGGCAGGCCTGAGCGAATACAAGTTTAGCTTGTCCCTGTTGAGTAAGTAGGGCATGCTACAGTGGATAATTAAAAAGCTTGATAGCTGGGACTGAATAGAAGAAAACGGGAAAGTTAGACCAAGTTCTCCCCTGCGAAATCTTATTAAACACATTAAATAGTCAAAATAGTAATCTTTATCATATCTGCCTTATTAACCCCTTTGTGTATAATGACCACACAGTGTTAAGCTGAGTTTTTAATTTGGCTCTCCTTTCAACTGTTCACATAAAGCACCTGGCAAAGTGTTTTACCTGTTAGGGGGAGAAAAATGCAATAATATGTTAAATATATTATTATTCAGAAATGCTAAACAAATAGTTTGCAAGCAGATTTCTATATTGTATTACAGTTTTGAAAATAGATTTGGTATCGTTCTGAAGTTTAGCTATCAAGCATTCACCATTGTGAAGAATAGTTGATTGACTCTGCTTTTACTAACAGATTTAACTTATTCAGGTTTGAAATTCTGTTTATTTTTAAGGGTAAACAGGGCATATTTCTTTAATAATTTCTATTTAAAATTCACTTTATTCATGTGACATTTATAGTACCAGAGTGATTATTTCATACCAATGAAATCTTACTTTTCAGTGACTGAAAAGATAGAAGTTATTTGCTAATAGTCATTTATCAGCACCCACCTAATCATGCTTCAGATGATCTGTGCTCTTTCTTCTTTGTCATATTCAAGTTATCTGACATCTACCAAGAATAGTTCATAATTATTAAGAGTCCAAAGAGTATGGTTAACTTCACACAGCTGCTTTTGCAGAAGTACTAATAAAAACGAATGTTTTTTACCCTAGAGGTCCTCTATTAATCTCTCTAAGAAGAATCTCCTGGAAATCTGAATGAAAGAGTTTAATGCCAAATATTGGCTAAAAAGTTCTGTCTTTCTCCCTATTCCTCCCCCGTTGTTTAATTGAGATATATGTGTTTTAATGGGTAGTTTATCTGTATTGTTTCTAGGGAAATCCACACCTTAAAAGGCCAGGCTTCCCCAGCCCAACTTACCTGTGACCCACCTACATGTGGTCAGCTTTTGGGATTCTGAGGACCCCGCTGTCTAGACCTAGTCCTCTGTCATACCTTATTTCTGTAGCCGTTATGTCTCTCTTCATACTCTTTCTTCTTTGTCCCAAATGACAGAGACCAATCTAGAAATTAGAAATAAATTGTTAATGTCCAGCTTGCCACCAAAAATATAAATAGACTCTTAGATTTTAGAAATATTAAATCTATAAATATTTTAACCAGTTAAAACAATTTCTACATATTCCATTCCCCACATTTTCTATCGTCACAACAATGATGCTTCTCATGATATGTACATCTCCTTCTTGAGAAAGTATTCTGGTGGTGATGTGGCTAATGATTGACAGTATTTTTGTAAAATTTCTGCTTGTTTGCCTCTGGAATTCTGCGTTATACAGGCAGATTTTCTTTAAAGCTAAAGACCTGTGCTAAATTTGCATGATTTTCATACAGATTTGCTGTAGTATTTTAATACAGCTACCTTTTCATCGCATCTTTGTGCTTTGGTTAACAGGCAAGCTCAAGAGACTCCATTGTGTACTTAAATGAATTGACCTACACATGGGCTATCAGGTGAATACTTATATTTCCATGCAGATACAGAATTCCATATTGTGTTCAGTAGATTTGTTTTGGTTCTTCACAGTGAAGAAAGAATGTTTCTAACCCAACATTTGTAGAAGGATACTGGAAAATTCCTTCGAGGAAGGAAGGAAGGAAGTTGCCATTACTTGGTGTGTTTATGATGGATGACCACACAGCTATTGTTCTACCAGTTATTGTTTTAATTACCTTCTAAGATCTTCAGTACCTGCTTTACTAATGTCACTGAAATTCTAAAAACCAAGACATTCTTCCCCTGTTCATTTTATGCTTCATGGTTGAAATTTTTCTGTCAGTAAGTGGAAAATAACCATGAGATACATTGACTGTAGTGCAAATGGAACTGTTGAAAGTTCCTTAGAAAGCCAGTGCTGTGGCATTGGAGACTACAGAGAGAGTCTTCTCTACCAGCAGCGCATGATCTCAGCCTAGAAATGAGCCAAAGTGTCTTCCAACCAGAGTAGCATATACATGTGTCTGACTTTTCCCCTAGCCTGTTGAACATTCAATGAAAATTCACGGAATGAACAAATTCAATGTTTAAGCAGCCATTGAAATGCTTTCATAGAGCTTCATTTGTAAATATCTTGTTTGAAATGTATTGGAATAGTATGAAAGTTAGCAGGAGGTTTGGATCCCTGCCTTATTTTCATATGCTATGGATACATCTCTGGGAGCTTGCAGCACCCTTCTCAAAACTCAACTGTCATATGGAGCTCATTTGCTACTCAAACCATAGACAGATTATTTAACAGAAGTGATATAATGACCTTCAGTATTTTTCTATTGAACAAGTTTAACAACTTTTGCCATTAAACAAATACTTAGTTATGCAAAGTATTTAGCTTTTATAATCATTTTAGTTATGACTAAAAGGGGGGAAATTGAGCTGCATCACTGATGATGAACTTTGTGAGAAATTTTTTTTTTAATCTGACTTTCATTCCTTCAATATTCTTGCTATAAATTTCTTTTGGAGATAATGAAGATTTATTTGAAAATGTCTAAAATGTATGTATATTTTATAAGTATATATTATATATATTGTAAAAATATATATAATATATAAACTATATATATATATATATATATAAAAAAACCATAGGTGCATTTTACTGTTTTGTATTTTCATTTTTGGAGGTAGTATACACAGCAGATAATGATGAGTATGATGAGTGTTGTGCTGTTTGCTTTTGCAGTATAATATATAGTTCTAAATGTTTAAATTACTGTATATACAATATTCATTATAGGCTAGCATGCTTGTTTTAAAGACTGTCATTCTAGTGTATTAAAATCTGAATGTAAGAAAACCTGGCTATTCAAATGTGAATTGAAAAATATTTCATTCTCAGTACTGAACTATTTCCATTGAACATTCAGGCTTTTTAACAAAAACAAGTATCATCAAGAAGGCAATAGCTAGAAAATGAGAGGTGCCTTTAAAAAAAAACAAAAAAAAACAAATGCAGCCTTACAGTGAGGATGAAGATTGAGTTGGGGGCGGGGGTGGGAGGGGGGGCACAGAGAGAGAGAGAGTTAATGTGTGTGTGCATGCATGCGTGTTTGTATGTGTGTTTACCAATCTGTGAAGGTCCTGATTTGTGACCATCAATGTCTTTTTAATGTATCTGCTCAACTTCTAGGACTTCAGGGGACATTTCATGCGCTTTGTGCTCTTGAGCACCATATATACTTTCCAAGAATTTTGAATGTGAATTCCTAGAAATTTCAGTAGAGAAAAAAATAGCTATGCTTTAATTATAGTACAGTTCAGGTAGAAGGAGAAATTATTGGTTCACCAAAATTATGGGATCTCATTAATGTTGGCTAAGTAAATGTAACTTTTTAAAGGCTCACTTTTTAATACTTCATGTATTTCCCTCTTACAAAACTGCATGTCATGAAGTTCTTACGTGATAAAGATTCAACTAGTAAATATTTTTAGGTTAAATACCTGAACTAGTTAAAATTCCACCTAAAAAGAGTCTTAAAATATTTAAATGGCATCTCTCATATCTACCTCTTTGTCATTGCTGCCATTTTAACTGAAGCAAATCTTTATGACATCTGAAATGACGGTTGGATGCAATTTTTAAAAATCTATGTTGGTGCTTTTCTCAGGCTTTGTCATTTAAGTTATATTGTATTAAGATGTCACAAATCAGATTGAAAGGCTTAGAATTAATTTTGTTTTTCTTTGAAAGAATTGCTTAAAATTAACCATCAATGTTGTTAGTGAGTGGAGATACTGAATCTTTCGTTGGTGTATGTCTGTGTGATGTTTTCAACCAATAGCCAAATAATTATTGAACTTAAATGAAAAAGAGTTCTGAGTATAATTTTATTCAGATTACTTTATTCTTTGAAAGTGACTACAAGACGATTAAGTACATAATCATTCATTTTATTTACTCAGAAGTTGCCTCTCCATTACTGTTAACTTGTTTAGTTATTTATATAATTGCAGTACTTTAAGTGTTGGACACTGGGATTCAGGTTGTACAAAGTAGTAGCTGACAAAAAATATGTATATTTTTGTGAAATGTATCAAACCCTAAAGTTCATTTTAGAGAAAGGCCCAGAAAACATATCTGTGTTTAAAAACAAAGGACAGGTCATTCGTCAATAATTTGAATCATTTTTACTTTTGCCAGTACAAACTTTGTAATTGGCCATATCCATCATCCAACTGGATCTTCATGTCAGTGTAAGGGATGCCAGGTTGACAAAGTATTTAACAGTTCCTTTACATCAGTTTTTTGTTTGTTTGTTTGTTTTTAATTCTATAGAAAGTAAATGTTAGGCCAAACAGATCCCTAGATCCCACTCATTGATTCCGGCAGTATTCCTAAAGTGGTGCTTAGGGGGTCAGAATTTTCTGGATCTTTGCTAATCCAAGCTTTAGATTTAATTTAACTGGGACCACATGCTTGTCATCCCTCTGATGCAAATTTTCAAAATCATTTTAATTTAGATTCTGATGTCTGCCTGGGTTTTTAACAGGCTGTGAACCAGTGAGTGCCTTGTTAATGTAGAATGATTTTTTTTCACCCTGGGTGGGTGTTAGTTAGCTCCTCTCTGAAAATGTCTCAGAGAATGGTATTTTAATTGACTTGTAGAGAGCTGCTAAATTTGTTATTATCAGCAATCAGAAAGTCTTTGGTCTACCACACATCTCCCTCCCTACTATCTCTTCATTGTTTGGCTGAAGTTTGCCTCTTGTGAGAAAACAATACAACTCCCCTTCTCCACACACTTTTTTTCTAGCCCAGATTAATAGGTATCCCCTACCCCCATCCGAACTCTATGATCTAATACCTGTTTTTAGGAGGAACCTCTTCTTTTTAATAGTGAAATATGCTGGTTATTTTATGTTTTCTCAAGTTCAGTTCACTAGAGCTGGCCGCAGGGTGTCATCAGTTCAGATTCCTAAATAATCCTTTCTCTCCACACCCAATCCTCCAGCTGGTGAGCCCTGGGCCAGATTGTTTGATCTTCAGGTATTTTAAATTTTAGTTACATCAATTAATGTAAATTAATCCAAATGCTAATTTTTGTGGTGCAAGAAGTTTCTTTTGTAAATTCAGGGTATGGATAAGCTAATTAAGATATCCATCTTTGGTGGCTCTAAGTGTATTATTTGTTTTTAAATAAAGTGTACAAATATAGATAACGTGCTATAGGTGTCTCATGAATTGGAATATTTGTCAGATTTGGGATCTAGCTGTGACTTTACAGTGAATCAGTTAAATTAATATAGTCTCATTTGGGGCTTTTGGGGGAGGAGTCGTAGAGGGGTGCAGAGAAATAAAAGGATATTAGACAAAGTATATGTGAGTCCAAAATTAATGAACCAGTCTTAATTACTGATTGTGAGGAAGAAGTTTATAGAGAATTTGGGCCTCTGAAAAGCCAGTCAAATTAAAATACCTTCTAGGATTGAGTCAGTGATACTTTCAGAGACACCTATGTTTAATGAATAGGTTTTATGTTTTTCAAATGTTCAGTTTAAATGGCTTTTAAAATTTATACACATATATAAATACAGTGTTTTTATTTTTTCTTTGGCTACTTAACAGACACACACAAGCCTTCCACATTCCTTGCCCCTTCAAATCAACATTATTTTTCAAGGCCTGTGCCCTGCCCAGAACTCACAATCTCTTTGTTCCAGTCTGGATCCACAATACAGTATGAAATTTAAAAGGCACTTCTGGTGTCCTTGAAACTATCCACCATTGTTGGTGTTCTGTATGCTGGTATATTAATGAGTATTATATCCTTTGGTGTATACACACATTTTCAGTAGTGTTGGAAACATCTCTTTTACCTTTTAATGAGGACTGAGATTAGCTTGAGTAATTTTGGAGTAATCTATCTCAGGAGGTCATTAAGACTCCAAAAATTATTCATGGATTGATGAACCCCCTGGGGTCAGCCTAAGATTGCCAGGTAGTGTTTTGACCTCCTCTAGGTTTCCCAAGATCACTGATGTTTTGCAGGGTCCCAGCATTGTCCTGGCATATAAAATATTCCCAGAACACCTGGGGAGTCGAGCATACCTTTTCACCTAAACATTATAATCATGGAGCATCCCTCCGCCTGTTACTTCTCAGGATGACCAGAACACTCCAGTTCTGTAAAGAAGCACTGACATACGGCTCTGCAACTCTGAAAATTGGAATCCGTTTTCTGAAATACAAATTTTAACTAAGTTTCGTATACTTTCAAAACCAAACAATTCAAAATCCACCAAACAAAATGACTCACTTCTAAGTATCACTCAAACCCTACAAAACCTAACCCTTTCCTTATTCCTAATTGATATTTCACTAAAAGTAATGGTGGTTTCAGTTAGATTGGAAGTCATTTGGGTGAGCAAAGTCTGCAATAACCTACTGATAAGAAGGACCTATTTCATAGAAAAGTGTCTTGTCCTTGGTGATTTAGCCATTCACCTTAGATGAAGACTGGTCCAGGTGCCAGCTCCATATTGACTTTTTCTGTGTATCTCTTTAGATACCCAGTGATGTAAAGGAGAGCCCACAGTGAAACATCCATTAAACAGCACTTGGAGTACTATAGTGTTATGCCATCATAAGATCTCATGTATGTACCAGGTTCCCAATTCATTGCCTCAAACCGAAGATTTTTAAAAATTCTAATTGCATCGTCAAATTAAGGGTAATGGTAGGGAAACCCATCATCCACAATTAAGTATACCCAAACTGAAAACTTGAAGGAAAAAAGCACATGGAAAGCAACATTTTACAAACAGCTTGTGGTTTGTATATGTGCTGAAATGTTAAAGTATACTGGCATCCAACTACTTCCCTTTGGAAGTGGAACCAAGACAGTAATTTTTCATACATAAACAAAATTAACTTAGAGCAAAAGTAATTTTATCAGAAAGTTTATTTTGGGTGCTGGATAACCTAGGTGAGTGTGGGGAAAGAAGTACCTTACCAAAAAGGAGAAGCAGCTGGCCCTGTGACTGGAGCCATATTGTCTTCCACTTCAACTTCAATGGGCTGGCAAGATACCATTTCTGACCTCAAAGAATGAATGGTTCCAATTCTGGCTTGTCATTAGTCCTTGTTAACTAAATTAAATATTTTAAGGAAATATATCAAAAGTATCCTAGAGCCCCCTGGCAAAATGTCAGAGGGAATAGTTATCATTTTATTTTAGGAAGCTGTAAAAACATAAACCCAAGTATTTTGTGTCGTCTGCATATGTCAGGATGAAGACCAGGCATGTAAGAAATATCCTAAAGTAACCAAGTGATAATCTCATGAAAAAATATGAGAAGAATTTTTACAGAGTGAGTTCTCTTTTGAATGGTTTTCACTATGCTGTTAAAAACATTCTTTTAAATGTACTTACATCTTTTTCTGTAGCCCACATATTTCAGAATATCCTCTTGATAGAATAATATCACTCCATATGATTTTTAGAAAAAGAAAAACTCAGTGGTCTCATATATTTTGACAGTTGTTTGTGAATAATACCCTCCCCCACAACCTTCCCAGTACTCAACTGCTGTGTAGGAATGCTTTCTTATGTGGTAAATATCTCAGTATTTTGCTGCCTGGTATTTATTCAGTTTCCTTGTATATCTCCAGGTCAGAAGGAATCAGGCTTTCTCCCAACTCTGACACTTTCAGACTTTTATTTCTTTTTGGTCAGCCTTTTAACAAGAAAGACAATAAGCTCCTTTTGTCAGAATCAATTTGATTAAAAAAAAACTACGCTCCTTATTTCTCATTGCTGTAGAATACTTAGGAATACACATGTACTAATTACAATT